CAGCGGCGCCCGGCCGGAGCTCCGCTCCGCCTCGGCGGCCTGGCAGGACCCCCTGGCCGTCCGCACGTGCAGGTGGTGCTGGATCTGCTTCTTGGACGTGAAGCTGCCGCCGCAGTGCGTGCACATGTAGGGCACCCAGTGGCTCCGCTGGTGCAGCAGCAGGTTGATCCGCAGCAGGAAGCTCTTGCTGCACACGGGGCACACGTAGAACTTGTTCCGGCTGTTGCCGCGCTGGCAGGCCGCGGTTCTGCTCGCGCACGAGCTCTCCACGAAGGTCCCTGTGGCCGTAACCGCGTGGGCTGGGTCCACACGTGCCGTTGCGTTGCCAAGACCTGGTGCCTGCTCCTTACCTGCATCTTCAGGAGCATCGCTCACTGCATCCCAGCCATCATTCCCTGAATTCCTGTCATCCTCCTCTTCCAGCTTTTCCAAAGGCACTTCAGGCGTGGGCAGCTTCTCTGCAGCGCCCTCCGCTCGCTGCGTCTCTGCTGCGATCCCCACCACTGCATCTGCTGGCAAGGCTGCAGAACGCCACGTCACTTCCACTCAGTTTGGGGACAGAACCCAGAGCCCACGGGGCTCTCCCCTCCGCCTGCGTCCCTCCCTCTCGCCCACGCGCGTCTCCGAGCCGCAGGGCTCCCCTTGCAGCTCGTGTTGCTGCAGGGAAGGCCGCGGCTGCGGCTCCCCAGGGCCCGTCCTGCCAAGGAGGGCGAAGGGCCCGTACCTGCCGCAGGAGACGGACACAGCCACCGCTCTGGACTCGCCAGTGCAGCAGAGCACGTGGGAGAAGGCTGGGGAGAGGACGGCGGTGGCTGATGGAGACCCACGGCGCCAGGAGCGGTGTCACGAGGCCGGAGCGCTGGAAGCAGAAGGGGTGATCACGGCACTGGGCCGGACGCAGCCGCGGCGGGGCCGGGGCAGCAGCCGGGGGGCCGGGCCCCCGCTTGCCTCCAGCTCCCCGCGATCCCCTCGCAGGAATCCCCCGCTCCGGGGAGCTACCGTGGCGAGGCAGGGCCAGGGGGCTCTTGCCGTGCCCCAGGGTGCCCCCATTAACACAGGAGACCCCGCAAGCCCCGCAGGCAAGGACGGCGACCCCAGCTCAGGGGGATGCAGATCCCGGGACGCGGCATCGCTCACCGGCCGGAGGCTCCGCCGGCGTCTCCGCTCGCCGCAGCTCGGCTGGCGCCGGCGCGCACGGCTCTTCCCCTCTCTCCAGGCAAGCCAGGAGCTCGGGCTTGCACAGGGCGCAGTCTGTTGGGGGCGAGACAGCAGGCACGAGATGCGGCAGCACCGCGCGGGCGGCCACACGGCCCCTGCCAGCCCCCTCCGACACGCCGGTGCCCACGGCAGCACGCACGGAGCGCGGGACACAGGCGCCAGAATCCGAGAGCGCCCTCGTATACAGCTCCCAAAGACCAGTAACGACTACCACAAGATCCACCCGGGAAGATCTCCCTGTCTTCTCCCCCTGCACATCACCCTGCAGGCGGGAAAGCTCCTGGAGCAAGGAGAGCTGCGGGAGCCTGAACCAAGGTTTGCCCCCCCAAAGCTCTCCCGTTTGCTTTGCTCCGAGTACCTCCATGCACCGGCAAAGTCGGGATCCTCACGCACCGAAGGACCAGGGGAAAGACCCCGACTCTCCCCATACGTGACAGGAGGAGACACCGGTTCCCTGACCTGCTCTGGGGTACACTCACACCTTGGGTTGTTCCTTGGACTACATTTGGGATAATGCTGGAAAACACCCCGCACGGCAGCGCTGATTTGCAGCCGCTTCCCAGGAGCGGGCAGGTTGGTGACAAGCTACAAGCGCAGCACAAGGGGTGTTTTCCCTTCCCAACACGGCTCTTTCTGGCAGGATTCGCGGCGCGGGCACGCGGTGGTTCCTGCACGTGGGGCCGCGCGGCCGAGCGCGCCGGGAACGCCCGCGGGGATGCAGCGGACACGAGCCAGGGCAGCGCCGGCACTCGGCTACCTGTTCTCCCCGAGGAGAGACACAGCCCGCTGCGTGCGTCCGGCAGCCTCCGCCCGCCTCCAGCGGCGACTAGGAGCCGAGGAGAGCGTTGGAGGGCTGCAAATCCCACGGGAACGCAAAGGGGCAGGAAAATGACCCCGAGGGAGCTGCGCGGGCTGCTGCCTAAGGAGTGCAAAGCGAGTCCTACACAGGGAAACCAGCGTCTCGTAGTTGCCCTGCATGACGCTCCCGTAGAGCTCCTTCTGCCCCTCGTCCAGGCGGGCCCACTCCTGCGCGCTGAAGTGCACCGCGACGTCCTCGAAGGTCACCGGCACCTGCGGGGGGGCCGCGCTCAGCTCAGCGCCCCGACGCCCCCGGCCGCGCTGCGACCCCCCGCACAGGGGTGCCCCACAACAGCCACCAGCATCTCGCCCCTCCACACCTCCCGGCCCCGCAGTCCTCCAGACACCCCCACAAACCCCCCCACGGTCACGTTGTGCCCCCCGGGATACCACAGGGGCCCCCCGTCTCCCTCCCAGCCCCACCAACGGCTCCCACCTCCCACAGGCCGCCCCCTAAGCACCAGTCCCTCCCCGGGAGCCTCAGGCCACCGGGGACCCCAAGATCCCCCCAGCCCCCTCAGTGACAACCCCTGCCCCACAGGGACCCACAACCCCCCAGCTCCAACGCCAGCCCTATAGGGACCCCCCAGGCCCCCTCAGTGCCACCCAGCCCCACAGGGACCCCCAAGGAACCCCCAGTCCCCCCAGCTCCAACGCCAGCCCTATAGGGACCCCCAGGCCTCCTCAGTGCCACCCGGCCCCACAGGGACCCCCAAGGACCTCCAGTCCCCCCATCTCTGACGCCGAGCCTATAGGGACCCCCAGGCCCCCTCAGTGCCACCCGGCCCCACAGGGACCCCCAAAGACCCCCAGTCCCCCCAGCTCCAACGCCAGCCCCACAGGGAGCTGCCCCAGCCCCCTTACCGCCAACCCCAGACACACAGGTCCCCAGAGCCCCCCGCGCCCCCCAGGTCAGCCCCAGTCCCTCCAGCCGCGAGGTCCCCCGGGCAGCCCCAGGCCCCGTCCCGCCGCTCGCAGCGCCCCGCGCCCCGCTCCGCACCGCGGGCAGC